TACACACACACACACACACACACTCTGTATATAAATTGTATACATATAAAAATTATATATTAACCAACATAAGTAACAGAAAAACTAGCTTCTTACCTGCATCTAATTTCATGAAATATGTCGGTTTTTCAATAACAATGTCACATTTAGCATCTTCTATAGGTCTAAAGTTGAGCTGAGTATAGCTTTGTAGCTCAGCAAACCTGGAATGATGAATTGGGATATAATTTCAAAGTGATTATTATAACTTAGGCTCTATCTGTTCATTGGGTAAACTTTATTTCTAGTATGTGAAAGCATTTGTATGAGACATGTAGCCTCTCAAACCGACTGTCATTTATATAATTTCATATCCACCTTAACATTAAAGAGATTTTAAAATCATCCCACACATAACACGGTTAAATTGGGAACGGAGCACACAAAGAGGAAACTTACGCTGGAGTTGGGTAAATAATCTACTCAAGAAAACAGGAAGTCTCAACCGGGTTTCCTGTAGTTTAAGGAGGCTCAAATTAAACAATGTGCCCAAGAAATTCTTACTGTGTGGCCTCTCTGGAGTCTAAGAAAGATGGCATTCCAAAAGTCACCTAGTACTCAGAAAGACAGCAGGCAGCTAGGCCTCTCTCAGGAATGAGAAGTCTATTTCTCAGAAAATGTCTTCAGAAGTGACACTGCACAATCTGCTTCCAAACTGAAGACGATCATAAGCATGCGACCAGAGATATCCAGAGCTAACATAAAGGTCATCTTTAATGCTTTATCTCTGACATCACATTTTGTGTAAAATAAATACCAAGAAATTATTTTTAAAACACACAAACAGAAGATCATGGTGGTTTCAAAAATATGTCTGCAAATTCTTTAACACTTCTCCTTTTAAGAAGTGGAGGTTACTTCCCTCCCCTTGGATGGGGCATAATTTTGGGCTCACCTCTATCCAAAAGAACACAGCAAAAGTGACAAGACATCACTTCTGAGAAGTAGATTTCTCAGTCCAACTGAGCCTAGGAAAGGCTACAGCCCTAACCAAAGACTTGACAAGAACCTTGAGAGAGATTTGGCTACCCAGTTCCCAAATTGTGACCATCAGAATCAATGTGAGAGATGAAATGTTTGTGCTGTCAACCTATTACACTTTGAAGTAATCTGTTATATAGCAATAGATAAAAAATACAAATATGCCCTAGACACAAAGAGTAGCCTACGTGACTATGAAAGGAGGCATGTGTATTCCTTTGGAAGACAGAATAATTCCTCATCCTGATTCTGTTGGTGGCTATGTGGACCAAGACAGTGATGCAAATTTTATAGATGACCCATTTTGTAAAAATGTCTGCATCTAAACACGGTGAGACACACTGAGTTAATAATATCATGCCACGGGTAATTTCCTGGCTTTGATCAATGTGCTAGGGTATATGAGATATTATCATCACTGGAAGCAGGGCTAATGGTACAATGGGAACTTCCAGTACTATTTTTAGGCTTCCATGAGTCTAGACTAATTCAAAATAAAGAGCTTTAAACTTCAAAAATCTAACCAATGGTGATAAAGGTCAGGGTAGCTTTTGGAGAGGAGGATGAGGATAAGACCTGGGAGGGAAACTGGGTGCGGGCGATGCCCTTCATTTAGACCTGGATAAGAGCTACACAGGTAGGTCCACTTCTTCAGAATCCAAACGACATACTCTTTTGTATGTTTGTTACATACCTCGGTTGTCGAACTCAATTCATGTCCACTGAACTGAACATATTTTTCCCATAAGAAATCACAGAAAACTAAATAATTGGTTCTGAGGTCTAAAAATGATACTCATAAATTCATTTTTTTTCCAGGACTTTTCACACATTCTACAATTATTTCTTTCTTTACTGTGATTCTCGGTTTTCCTCTTAGCTTTTCTGCTGGTTATCACTAACCTTCTTTTGAGCCATGGTTATAATATTTTACACCAACAAAGCACAGTGACGAATGTTGCAATACACGAACACGGGCGCTGCACCATGTCCAGGCAAAAGTGGCGCTTAGACTGCAGCGTCTCCCTTTTGTGTCCATCTCCTCAAGACGCAACGTGTGATTCACTCTCGGCCCATGCAGGCTTTTTAAAGTCAGATTTTCAGTTTGATTTTCTCTTCCTTCCTTCCTTCCTTCCTTTCTTCCTACTGGTGATCAAACTCAGGACCGCAGGCAGCACCACTGAGCTAAATCCCTGCCCTCAGTTTGACTTTCAAACAAAGTTACAAACACTGAGCATATTTTTTTCGAACTTTGCTATTCAAGTAGTAGAAAGTTTGAGTGTGGGCCATTCAACAACTGAGGTCTCACTGTATTTCAGTGCATGCTCATTTTTCCTAAGAAAGTGTTCCCCAAAACATGTGAGCCAACTATAAAATGATAAAAATTAATTTTAAACTGAGTTTTCCTTTTATTTGCAAACAACAGTGCTTTATCATATTTCCTAATACTTTATAAACATATTCAATTCAGTTCCACCGGAGGGATCCACTTGTAACCACCATTCCTTAGAAGCTTGTGCTTATACAAATTAAGTAACATTTACTTAAAGTTACCTGCACCATAAGTAAACTTTCCATTTTGGAGTCCTACCAAAATCTGCAAGGACCAAAACTAAAAGCAAATGTAGATATGTATGTAAAAGAAAATGTTACCAAGACTGCAGGGGGCTTTTGCGCTGACCTTCAGACTTCAGTGTGTTCATGTCAAGCTTACAGTGTCCTCCGATTTCACCACTCTGGAGAAAATCTTCCTTGAATCTAATGTATTTAAAAAACAAAAGTTGAGTTTGAAAATTTTATTCACGACTCCAGCTCATGGGTTGTAACTAAATGGGATTGCCAAATTCCAAAATCAAGTTGTCTTTGGAATTTAATGACAGGCATGAGTCCCATAATGGCATTCCAGGCAACAGCCAGCCACACAGATGATCGCGAACCCTAAAGATTATATCACCTAGTGGCTTTGTAGCTACCTCAGTGTGTGAAGCCAGGTATGGGGGCACATGCCTGTAAGCCCAGTGGTCTGCAAGTCTGACTCAGGCAACTTTGTGAGTTAGCAATATTTTTTCTTAAAATAAAAAATTTTTAAAAGGGCTGGGGAGTTAGCTCAGTGATAAGGTCCTAGGTTCAACCCCCCACTACTGGGGGAAAAAAAAACAGTTTGTATGAGTACATTCTACAGAGTTTGCACAGCAATGAAATCACCTAATGTATCCCCTCTGGTAAGCAAGGCTTAAATGTACAGAGTCTGCCCAAAACATGTATACACTTCAGGAAAAGAAAAATAGTATGATGTTTTTTCAACAGATGGTATTGCCCTCATAGGAGAGCCCCTCAAAGAGGTCAGAAAACCCAGCACACTGCTGGTCCTTAGGGAAGAAAGTGAAAATGCACGTGCAGTACTCTCTATGACCGAGGTTACCCAAGCAGAAGTTTACTGTATTAATACAGGTCTGGAAGCTCCTGGCCACCACTTTGAGCACCTCTTGTAATTGCAGAGACCAAAGGTAACTTGTATTAATCTCATGATGTCTCAGTAAATTCAGTATAAACATTTTATTTATACAAGTTTTTCTTCTTTCTTTTCTCATTGAGTTTATTGGTACTTTTTAAGTATACAGTACAGTTACATTTATCATTCGAATCTTGGACCTTTACATGACAGATCTTGGTTCTCATTTTTTGCCCATATTGTACAAGTTTTTCTTTTCCTGAAGTATGTATACATTTTTTTGGGCAGACTCTGTATTTATAGTAGAAAATTTTAAACATATCTAAAAGTAGGGCTGGGACATAGCACAGTAGCAGAGTGCTTGCTTGCAATTTAAGAGGCTCTGGCTTCAAATCTCAACCCTGCATCAGAGAAACAAATGATTAACCTAAACAAAAGTAGCAGAATTCTTTAAGGAACTATCATACCTGTGACCCTAATTTGTGATGTGATCAACTGGTGTCCAGTCTGGGTCACCATGACTCACCCATTCCCTGACCTCTCAACCATTGCACTCTGCAGCAAATCCAACAGAGATAGGCCTGGACCTGAAAATATGTCCGAACCTTTATTAGAGCTTACCATCAACCATGTACGTACCTGTCATGACTTCTCTTGATGTTTCTTAAGTCAAGGTAGAGACGGGTTACTCTGCAATACTGAAGATAACGGGAACACACCAGGCTCGAGTCACTCTGAAATAAGGTTGACAAGAGGGAAAGACGGCCTCTGAGTCCCAACATTGTGGTGCACTAGACAGGGTAACAGCGAGTACACTACATGATGGAAAAAACTCTCCCCACACTGCAACTGTCTCTGGGTTTCTTCCCTTCACAATAGAACTTAGCCAAATATACTTTTGGGTTCTACACTTTTATGTTACATTGAAGAACTCACAAATGCTCTATTTGTATCAACTCACATTTTAAAGCTAAGAGCTGTATATATGGTTCAATTCAGTACCCCCATCCCCCAAAAAAGCAGCACTAGAAACCATTACTTACTCTGAGCTATGTGAAAAAGCATTCCGGGCAGAGCCAAAGGAAACAAGGAAGAACGCACATGCTAGACACATTCAAATGCAAGGTTGGAAGGGCGCTTTCTACAGAGTTTCCCATGAACCTTGTGGGAGTCCTCTCTCAACAGCAACCAGAGGGCAACCTCTTCTAAATGACTCAACAAAACAGTGGAACAGTCAACTACCACAGCCTGTTTCTATTTCAATCACACTGGATGTGCTGACAGAGGGTGTGCTTCAAAAACATTTCTGCTTTGGATTTTATTTAGAGAACTAATGCTATTTTATTATTTTTCCTACAACTTCCCAGGGCCTTCATCTTGACCAGCATGATATTTTGGACTGTGCAGTTAGTAAAAGATTACAATGGACTGAATGTTTGTGGCCCTGGGAAACTCACATGTTGAAATCCCAACTCTCAATGTGACTAGAGCACAAGGGGGTGCCCTCAGAAGTGTGATTAGTGTCTTCCTAAGAGAAACCGCAGAGCACGTTCTCATCCTCTTTCCACCGTGTGAGGGTACAAGGCTGGCTGGTTGCATTCTAGAAGAGGACCCTCCCCAGAACCTGACTGTGTGAGTGGTGCCTTGAGCTGGGCTCCTACTCTCCACAACTATGAGAGAGAAATTTCTGTTGTTTCCGGGCCACCGAGTCTATGGCAGATTGTTATAGCAAAGAACCAAGACAAGGACGAAATGCTGGCAGCACATCAAAGTAAGCTGTGGCCGGGAAAGCAGTCTACTAATCACAGTGGGAGAGGTGTGCCCAGTACGATTGTGGCCCCTTCCTTGCCCTCTCCACGTGGTCAGAGCTGGATTCTCACCAAAGTGTGCAAAGTAACCCAGAGTATCTATTCCAGGTGCACGGGGGCAGTGCTATTTAACGATCTGCCTCCTAATTCGCATCTGATTTCCTTTGCTAGAACTGCTAATAGCTCTATCATGTGCCAACCTTCCAAAGTCACGATGACATATGTATTTATTCAGAACTGAATGCAAGTGAATTAATTTCTTTTAATTTCACAGAGTTCCTGGAGATACTAAAGACCCCTAAGATGTCAGAGATTTTGTAGCACAGGATCACCAAATTACAGAATATCACATCTTACTCATAAGTGCTTAAAATTCCATCAAAAATAGCATTAAGCCCTCTGCTGGGAGCCAGATTCTGCACCGAGCATTTTTTTTTTTTTTTTTTTTTTTTTTTTTGTACTGGGGGTTGGACTTGGGACCTTGTGCTTGCGAGGCAGGCAGCAGCACCACTGAGCTAAACCCCTGGCCCTGCACTGAGCTTTTTTATATGCACAATCTCACTTCCTGCTTCCTGAGTGCTACAGAATTGTCACAGCTTTAAGGCTAAGGAAATCAAAACAGAAAGTTTGAGCACCTTGCCCAAGTCAGGATTTTATCTCTGTAGTCAAGAGCCTATACTCCCATACCACTACCTAAAACCACCTCTTGACCACACATTTTTCTTACCTACTGGGGTGCAGCACGCTATGGAGGATAGTGCAGTGGAGAAAAAAGATCTGCCTTTTATACCGAGATGCATAGTTCCCACAAGGTAGCTATGCAGTTGTTAGGGCTTGTGTCCAGATGGCCCCCCAAAGCCTCATGCAGTCTTTTTCGGAGGAGGCAGAATCCGGAATGCATGATGCTGGAATTAAGGGTGTGTGCTTACTAAACCACTACCTGTGAGTGTTTGGTTTGGCACCACTCTAATCCTGGTAGTCTGGATGGGTAGAAGGCGCAGAAAGAGGCTGTTAAGGTCCCTTGTTGTTTTCGCTGTCTTCCACCACCACGAACTGTTGCCCACTCTGCCTTGGAGCCAGATAATTATGGACTGAAACCCCTACAAACTGTGAGCTAAAATAAACCTTTCCTCCTTTAACTTCAGGGGTTGGGTATTTTGTCTCAGCAGCAAGACAAAAGTAACTAATATAGTAGGCTTGGAGTGTTTGCTTAATGTCTCTGAGAACCTGTTTTCTGTTTTATAAAAGTGGCATCAGTATATCTTCTCTACTTATCTGCTATAATACTATGAGGCTCAAAGTAGACAACCTACAGAAAAGCTTACTGCAAACTATAAAGCTCTACACAAACATAAACAGCTTGGTAGGGGCACATCATCTGTCCAAAGCAAGCAAGGGATTTGTAAAGACACAGTTTACCCATTTTCCTTCTCTAGCCTATGCTGGAGTGGGGGAATTCTAAACCTAAAAGTATTTTTAACAGCATCAAAATGTGACTCAAAAGCTGTATATGGGAGAAGAACAGGGCTTCCAAAGTAAGCAGAACTATTTGGGGATGATGAATAAAACAGTGAGACAAACAAGTGAAAGTGAGGGACTCCTTTCCTACTGCCACGTATCTTGTTTTTATATCACAATCTAAACAAAAGATAAATAATCAGTGGTAAGTAATGAAGTAAAAAGGTTCACTTATGAAGGAACGGAGCACCCACCATGGTCTCTGGCTGACAGAGCACACGCATCTCCCCCAGCCGCTCCCTGGCGTACCCGAAGTCTGCCTGTTTCCAGAAGATGTCTTCAGCTGACTCCACAGTATCTGTCCTGTTTGCAAAGGAAAAGATTCTGTGTGGGGTTTTTTTTTACATTTAATTTTATTTTTTTAACCTTGAATTGTCTTTCTTTTTTTTGAACCAGGGATTGAACTTGGGTCCTTGTGCTAGCTAAATCCCCAGCATCTTGAATTTTCCTTCTGTGGGTTAAAGTGCTAGACATCTGTTACTATAAACACACACACACACACACACACCCAGAAGAA